ATTGCTGCTGGGTTAGTTGAGGGCGCTGGTAGCATCACTGCAGCAAGGCAAAAATACAGAGAGGCCAGGAAAGCTAACCCTCTGCAAAAACTGGGCACATTTGCAGCGGCGTTTGAAACAGCTACATCGTTCATCAGCTTTATAACTCCCGTGTTTAGCGTGTTCAGTGGAATCACTACCATCGCGACAACGTTCCTGACTCCAAACCCATTTGATGAGCTAGCAAAATATTTGGACGACGAGTTCAAACAGATAAACAACCGACTCACTGACATACAGGCCGACATAGCTGACTTGGGCCGTCTCATTGAGGCTAAAGGAGGAGTGTTAGCGATGGCAAATCAACTTAGCGCGATACGGTATACCATCAGAAATTATGGTGCCTTGGTAGATGCCATTTCGGCTAAACCGGTTTGTGGAGCAAGAGAATTGTCGCAAATGCCAGAGGTAGAGCAGTTTATGAGACAATATCAATACGGTAAGTCCTTAACTAAGAACATCGCTTAAAGGAGTTTAGTCAAGGCATTTTGAGTTATTTTGGCCAAGTACAAAATTACCTTTAAATTGAAGAAAACCTAAAAATAATAGTTTACACCAAAGCGATAATAATTAACCATAAAGGAACAAGGATGGAGAGGATTGACACGGATTACAAACGACAAACTTGAAAAATTTAGGATAAAACTTTCAAGATGCACAAATCGTGACGCAGCTCCTTTAAGCCGTAGCCAGTTAGACGCCTTCTCTTGAAAAGAACGCTCTTTTATTACAAGCTATTGCAAGAATCTTGAACATTTAGTTAAAACCCTAAAAAACGTATTAAATGAAAAACAATAGCATAATAGTCACAAGTTTTGTTGAAATACACAAACACTGTTCTATTCTTGTGGAGACGCAGTGACCTCTTGGTCGTTTAGTGCGCCCGCCTCCGGATCAAGCGCTCCGGGTTCGACCCCTGGCCGGTGACATTGCGTTGTGTTCTTAGGCAAGACACTTTACTGTCACAGTGCCTCTCTCCACCCAGGTATATAAATGGGTACCGGCGAACTTAATGCTGGGGGTAACCCTGCGATGGACTAGCATNAACCCTGCAATGGACTAGCATCCCATCCAGGGGGGATTAGAAATACTCCTAGTCGCTTCATGTTACAGAAACCGGGATAAGCTCTGGCCTAATGGGCCACTTGGCTCGAATGCAGACTCATTTTCGCTTGCTTTTCAGATTTCGTAGATAACCGTCTCTTGGACCTCTATGGGGTAGAACTTGGTGAACTGGTAGAAGCAACCTCTCTTCTCACCCCTTACATGATGGCTTATTGTCGTAGCAAAAAACATCTCGTACAGAAGTTTGCACAAGAGTTAATTTACTATGGTTATGCAGGCTTGAAATCCTACTTCACTTACCGCAGCCTTTTGGATGCTACAAAGGGCTCCAAAAGCAGCCTTGATGATGGAGCCAACAATGCTTTGAAGACCAAACTCCACAAATTTTTGAAGATGGCGCAAGTGTTCAGGGAAGCTTCGCTATCAAAACCAGGTCGTGCACTCCAGTTGAAGCTGGAGGACGAAATTTTGACGCAAATAACCAAAGATGAGGCAGGCATTACCGATTGGCTAAGCAAAAGGATCATCAACCCAAACGACTGGCCTTATGAGTGTGTGATCAAGGACGCCGATGGACAGGAAAACAACTCTCTGGTAATACAGTATCGGAAAATTAACAAAATTATAGACAGTTTTGTTGGAGTAACTAACCCTGAGCAGTTGTTGACGAATAAGCCGTGGAATATCCAAGTGATAACGGAATATGAGATAGGAAGTACCTATGTGAGGGTCCCAAGATGGAAAGGCTTGGATAACTGCACAAAGCCAGGAACGGACAATGTGATGATTGTAAGTTACTATCCCGACCTTTGCTGTGGAGAGGAAAAGACAGTGTTCGTATCCTGGAAAAAGATGGCTGTCTGTTTTTACCAGAAAGGTCCTACAGGTGGTAGGTTTAGGAACTGCGGGTCGAATAAGGGGAGAGATTGTGAATTCTATGGCCCCAAAGAAATGCTGAACACTGCAGATCGTTTTTGAAGTGCCAGAAGGAAGTAAGGTCACCATTGATTAAAGCCTGTTTTTGAACAGCCTACCGATCACCGCAAGATTATTGCTAAATCAATCGCTACCACATTGATAATCTCTTGTTTCTCGATCATGTAGAAGAAAAAATGCAATGCATGTAACTCTGATGAAAAACGTGTGCCAAGGTTTGATATGAACCCATCAGTCTTGTAATCATGATTTACATAGGGCACGTTACATGGCCGCGCGGGGATATGAAATTAATTTTGTCTTCGAGCGTTGAAAAATAAATAAATTTCGTATCTCCAAGCGACAATGTAATTGTCTTTTTATTATATAAAATACTCACGATAGATAACGACATTTGTGGCGATTCTGCGAAGATTACCGAAGATTTTCCAAAATTTGTCCGAAGGCCAGACGAACGTTTCCGAACAGTTTCCGAAGATTACCGAAGATAACCGAAGATTGCTGAAGACCTCCAAAGAAGATAAGATGTTTCGATCATACACCAACAAATTAAAGTATAGTTAAAGAGACAAAAAAAAATGTCACCAAAAATTATTTCAGTTTAAATTACTTTACAGGTTTGTGTGGTCCCAAAAGGTATGATTTTGAGCCGTTTTGGTCATTAAAAGGGGGTCGATTTTGGCCATTTTGGTCTTAAATAGGGTGTGGTTTTTGCGCTCTTCTCCTGAATTTGGTATGCTTGTAGAAGAGGCTGCTTTTGCATCATTAACGATGAGACCATCGACAAAAGCCCTTCACAATGCCTTTAACATCGGTCTGAATTAGGAAACTAATTATAAGAAAGCTCTGAAACAGCGTATTGATTTAGGGTCAGGTCTTAAATAAGGCATCAAATTTTTGGCCAGGTCATAAATAGAGTAAGGAAAGTCACAGAGTTTGGTCTTAACTAGTGTAAGGGTTTTGGGAGGTGGGCCGCACACCCCCGCCTGATTTTTCTGGGAATACCCCCCGGGCCTTGAATACAGTATGAAATCAAGCTAGTTTTGCCTTTCATGTTAAATCAGATTCTAAGCGAACTAAATGCATTCCATGTTGTCGTGCGTCTGTTCAGTAATTGATTACAGATGGCGTCAAAATGTGCTAAGAACAAAAATGTGACACATAAGGCGATAGCCGAGAGTATCACTGATGTTCTTACCACATTTTGATGTCTTCTGTGGTAAAATACTGAACAGACGTAAGGTAATTACATTGTTATATAATAAGGAAACAAAAAATGTTAATGATGTCATCATACGTCTGTCTTCCAATTAATCATAAGTAAGAACCAATAAGGATAGGAGAAAAATTCGCCATATTATGTAAGCCTGATTGTCAATTCAATGGCATCGTAGAAAAGCCACGACTCGTTAGCTTTGCTTCGTGAATTGGTTAAGTAGTTACTATTGATATATCAATAATACAAAAACCAACCCTCTTAAATTTTTTCCCGGTACTCGTTTTCTCGTTACTGTGTTACTCGTTACTTGTTATACGTTACTACATGTTTAGTAACACCTTGATGGAGCCAATGGAATTTAACTATTCCCATGGTCAACATTGCACAAAGGAAACTGCTTTTTCTGGTTTTAAAAGGGGTCAGTGTAAAACAAAGACTGTGGAATGCAGATTGCAGTCTGCAAAGTGTAGA